TCGGCCCACATCTGTCCATATTCCCTTTTCTGCTCACTTAAGATTACTTATGTCATTCTGATTTTTTATTTTTTTTTAAATGCACATTTTCCAGTGCTGATGTTAGAGCGGTTTTGCCCCACTGCAGTATCCTTACCTTAAACCTTAGTGGGACGATAACTGATCTCTGAGCAGCCCGGGGGGGGGTAGCTTTGCTGCGCTGTTAGAGAAGGGATGAGCAAAGTCTGTAAAAATGCCTCTCAGTAATAATTTAGTTTTTGCTCTCAGCAGAGTTGTGCTATCTTTTGTCTTGTTAAATCCACTGTTGGTGTGTGTGAAGATGCGTGTGTGTGTGTGGGTGTGAATTTATGCCAAATCGAGGAGGGAGGGTTGTTAGGGAAGGAAAGGGATTGACTTTTAGAGGTTTTTTTTGTTCTAAAGCTGTATTTGTGCATATGCGTATTTAAAAAGCTGGACAATGTTTAAATGCTTGAAGAAAAAAAAACAAAAAAGTTTGCATAAGGAGGATGATGAGAGGAAAACCACCAAGAGCATAGTACAATCCCCAAAGCTGCCAAGCAGCTCCACGACAGGGCCAGACGAGGGGAGGAAAGAAGGAAAGGTGGAAGAGGGAGGGAAGGAGATTCGCGGGTGATACTCTACTACTTTTTATATATTTAAAGTACAAATAATGTGACTCGTTGTGTTTTCTCTTAACTATCCTGTGACTAAATGCTATATTATATCATAACACACCCAACGGCTCTTATAGTCGATCAAAAGTGCTAAGGCTATTTTTTTGACAAGAAAAAAAACAAAACAAAAATTATATAAAAACTGAGAATCTGCTGTCTTTGTTTTACACTTAGTATGACCACACATGTAAAAACCCTGAAAAGCTTTAGTCTAACCAGCACAAAGAAGTGGGACAGGTGGGTTTTTTTTTTTTTTGGGGAGGGCGGGGGGGTTGTTGCTCAGAGAGACTATGCAGTGGAGTGTTGAACCCAGGCTTCCATGTCTACCTTGGGTTATTTATCTTTAAATTATATTAAACCCAACAAAATCATATAAAAATCCCTTTTTAGAAACGCAGCTGAGATGGGATTCCCAATAACGTTCCTCAAACACGTGCCATCTTTGAATTGTACTTCTTGTACTGCTTCTAATAATCTTTAAAATAAAAAAATAAATAAAAACAACGAAAAAAAAAAAGACCTGATAAACCTTTATAACCTAGCAGGCGTCAGGCCAGTTGTAGCAGGAGAGAGGACAGGTTAAGATTTGCAAAGTCCATTTATTTTCCCAGCTTGGCCGGTGAAACTGCAAATTTTACACGACTACAATGTTTTTTATAGAGATTCTATCAATCCACAGTGTGTAGTTGGATCACCTTTAAACCTATTATGCACATTGCTTTGGGGGAGACTGTTGAAACTATATATAATATATATATAAGAATATAAGCATACAGTGTCTATAATCATTGAGAGGACGCCGTCCTTTCCAAAAAAAAAAAAAACACAACAGGAAGTACCTTTTTTTTCATCTTCCAATTGTCTTCCTCTGCTCATCAAAGGATTTTATCTTAACTTCAGTTGAATCTGCACTTTTTGAAGGACAATCTTTATTTGTATGGTTATAAATTGACAAAAAAAACAAAGTCGCCTGAAATTACGTGGTATAGAAAACCAACTCCAGTGTGCTCTAATAATGAATGTCTCCTCTGATGCTGTCTATATGTTTGGGTTCATTTAATCTTTTTTTTTTTTTTTTATCCTTTTCCGCTTGGTTTGTTCTGTATTTTTCTTTTTAATTTTCTGGATTTTAGTGCTCTTATGAGAATCTGTATTAAGGTGTAGAGTAGTTAGTAGGTCTTCTGTTGGCTGTACTCGTATACTGATTACTGTTTGTAACCCTCTGGCTGCTGCAGCCAGCATACAAAGCTGTATAACTTGGGTACAACCCTCAATAAAAGACTAACAGTGACAACAAAAAAAAGCTAAGCTCTGTGTCTTTATTTCCAGCATTTCTACAGGTGCTGGTCATAAAATTAGAATATCATGAAAAAGTAGATTGATTTCAGTAATTCCATTTAAAAAGTGAAACTTGTATATTATATTCATACATTACATACAAACTCATATATTTCAGATGTTTATTTTATTTAATTTTGATGATTACAAATGACAACAAATGAAAATCTCAAATTCATCATATCAGAAAATTAGAATATTGTGAAAAGGTTCAAAATTGATGGCCCCTGGTGCCACACTCTAATCAGCTAATTAACTCAAACCACCTGCAAAAGCCTTTAAATGGTCTTTCAGTCTAGTTCTATAGGCTACACAATCATGGGGAAGACTGCTGACTTGACAGTTGTCCAAAAGATGACCATCGACACCTTGCACAAGGAGGGCAAGACACAAAAGGTCATCGCTAAAGAGGCTGGCTGTTCACAGAGCTCAGTGTCCAAGCACATTAATAGAGAGGCGAAGGGAAGGAAAAGATGTGGTCGAAAAAAGTGTACAAGCAAGAGAGATAACCGCACCCTGGAGAGGATTGTGAAACAAAACCCATTCAAAAATGTGGGGGAGATTCACAAAGAGTGGACTGCAGCTGGAGTGAGTGCTTCAAGAACCACCACACACAGACGTATGAAAGACATGGGTTTCTGCTGTCGCATTCCTTGTGTCAAGCCACTCTTGAACCACAGACAGCGTCAGAAGCATCTTGCCTGGGCTAAAGAGAAACAGGACTGGACTGCTGGTGAGTGGTCCAAAGTCATGTTCTCTGATGAAAGTAAATTTTGCATTTCCTTTGGAAATCAAGGTCCCAGAGTCTGGAGGAAAAGAAGAGAGGCACTTCATCCACGTTGCTTGAAGTCCAGTGTAAAGTTTCCACAGTCAGTGATGGTTTGGGGTGCCATGTCATCTGCTGGTGTTGGTCCATTGTGTTTTCTGAGGTCCAGGGTCAACGCAGCCACATACCAGGAAGTTTTAGAGCACTTCATGCTTCCTGCAGCTGACCAACTTTTTGGAGATGCAGATTTCATTTTCCAACAGGACTTGGCACCTGCACACAGTGCCAAAGCTACCAGTACCTGGTTGAAGGACCATGGTATCCCTGTTCTTAATTGGCCAGCAAACTCTCCTGACCTTAACCCCATAGAAAATCTATGGGGTATTGTGAAGAAGAAGATGCAATACACCAGACCCAACAATTCAGAAGAGCTAAAAGCCACTATTAGAGCAACCTGGGCTATCATAACACCTGAGCAGTGCCACAGACTGATCGACTCCATGCCACGCCGCATTGCTGCAGTAATACAGGCCAAAGGAGGCCCAACTAAATACTGAGTGCTGTACATGCTCATACTTTTCATGTTCATACTTTTCAGTTGGCCAACATTTCTATAAATCCTTTGTTTTTATTGGTCTTCAGTAATATTCTAATTTTCTGATATGATGAATTTGAGATTTTCATTTGTTGTCATTTGTAATCATCAAAATTAAACAAAATAAACATCTGAAATATATGAGTTTGTATGTAATGTATGAATATAATATACAAGTTTCACTTTTTAAATGGAATTACTGAAATCAATCTACTTTTTCATGATATTCTAATTTTATGACCAGCACCTGTACACGATCTGTAATCTGGTTTCTCCTCGTGTTCTGCTTATTTTTTCTTGGGACGTTCCAGATATCCCATCTTCGCCCGTTACCCTTGGATCATTTTAAACTCTTTCCTTGTGTGCCTCCATCAGTCCACTATATCTGCTTTCCTTTTTCTTTTTTTTTTGTTAAACTTATTTCTGTTCGTTATTATAGTGGTTAACAGATCCCGTTGCATTATTCCAGTGTGACGTTTGGGCAGCACATCTTACTTTAATAGCACCCTGTAACTTGACTGAACATAAAGACACCAGCAGATGAAATTCCCTTAAATTCTAAACATGAAGTGTTAAATTGGGGATTAGCAAACACTAATTTGACTTTAACTCCAGTCCATTCCTTGCTAATCTCCCCAACGTTGACTGGACTATACATTCCACTGAAGCTTGAAATTATCCCTATTTGCATGTTTTCCCTCCAGCAAACTTTCCTTGTAAATTCAGTACTTTGAACAGCCAACTCCTATAAATCCTGACCTCCAGGATTGCACCAAGCCAGTCTTTAATATAAATGCTAAAAGATTTTGTCCTGTCATACATTTTTAGTTTTAGACAGGGAAATTGATGCCTTTGAGATACAATAGTGAACTGAATTTGTTACTTTGCAGTATAATACTTTTTACATGCAGCTGTTTATCCCTCCTGACTCTGGGTTTCTATTAATGGCCCAATCTGTAAAGTATTTTTCAACTGAGTAAATGATCAAACATCTGCATTTGTTCTGCATTTCCTTTCAAAGTGTTTTGAATACTATTTGCACCTGGACTTATGAATTAAACATGTCCAGGTTTTAAACCCATTCCTTTACAGGGTTTATACGGGAAGGAGGAACTCTAAATGCTTTTTATATATATACACACCGGTAAAAATATATATACATTTTTTTTTACATATAAACACGGCCAAATCCTTCGTAATCTTTACCATCGACAGGCTGCAGCCAGGTCCCGAATTTCTCGTTTTCCAGCCACTTATGTTAAAATTAGCATTTGCTCATTTTTCTGTGCCTCGAGCTTCTGTTCCGAACATATGGCTATCGGATAAACCAGGAGCAGTTAAATCTGTTAAATTTGACAAATGTTTTTTGTATAAAGTATTTTAAATGCCATGTTATCACATTAAATGAATTTTAATGCCAATTAAGGCCTTAATTAAAAAAATAATTTCATGACTTAATGACCAGCAGAAACCCTGCTTAAGGATCACCTCAGCATGAAAAATACAAAATTGTGATGGTGAAAATATAGAAAAACGATATTTGAGTCAGCTTTAAGACAACCCAACTTTATAATTTAAGCACATCTTTAAAACTAGTTATCCTTCATATAAATTAACAGAGCAGCAGTCACAGAACCATCCATACTGCCTTTATTGATCTATTAGAGAAAAAGTGTACATCAGTTTCACAGGCTGGAACCTGAAGAAAAATGAAAATCAGAGCAGTGGCAGATCCTTGTTTAATAGTTTTTTTTTATATCCAAGCTCCCAAGAACATTTTCATTTTAAATACACTGAAACACAAGACACAGCTGACGATGCAGACTTTGCCATGATGGACTGAGGAGCTTATGGGGCGGAAGTGGAAAAAGTGGTGCCAATCTGCTTCAAAAGTACTTCCCATGGGGCGGCATCCTCTGGAACTATAAAGTCAAAGGAAATTATGTAAAATGAATGTAAATTAAAGAAGACTGAAAAAAAGTTGTAGTACCTGCCTTTGAACTGTTATTCATAAACATCCTTCTTGTCTGCAATGTATTGTACAATCTCCTCTGGAGTCATGAGCTTCTCTGCTTCAGCATCTGGGATCTCAAAGCCTGCAGCAGAACAGGGATCCAGTTAACGACAAGACTGAAATACCTGCAATCCCCAGTTTGTGTAAATAAATCTGCATGAAAACCTAGAGTGTCTAAAGTAAGTAATGTGTTCTCATTGACCGTAGCCCCATTTACACTTTTGAAATTAACGCTTTTGAAACAGTGCTGAGAACGGACCGAACACCGTAACTTGAGTGCAAATAGAAAGCAACTGAACTGGACCATACCAGACCCAACCAAACCGTGCTAAATCTAGTACTAGATCAACAGTGAGGCTCGGTTATCTGATCAAAGTGAGCATGAGCAGATGTGTCATCTTCTATTTAAGGTCAGCCGACTCATTTTGAAGGTTTTCCTGTGTGTCCGGCTTTATAATACACAGATCTATTCACCTGTTTACAACACAAACCTCTTCTCAGCCTATTTACAATAAATGGTATCAAAAGAGCATGGTGCGACCTGGGCTGACGCCGAGGCTCTCATTAAAATTGGGGAGGCGGATGCTATCCAGATATATCAGTTCCTGAATGTTATAGGCGCTGACATTTTGTTTTCGTTATTCCTCTGATAGGAGGTGAGGAACCGTGCTAGCGTGATGTGTAAATCGCTGTAAGGAACAAAGCTCGGCAACTGATTTAAGCTCGGTCTGAACTATGCACAGATCGGTTTAGGAGGGGAAGTGTGAATGGGGCATAAGTTTGAGCTTTGACAAGTTTTCGTGTCAAAAGGAGGGCAGTTGTTCTTTTATAAGGATTAGAAATGGCTAAATTGTTCCAGTTTTTCACAAATGAGAGATAAAGTTTATATTTATGAAACCCTCTGAAGGGTTTTAGTCAAGACTGAAGCAAAGAAACAGATGGAATTTAAAATGAACAGGGAAAAAGCCAACAATTGTTCTAACTTTTAGACTCAAGATTCTCTCATGCTCTAAAACCAGCCTGACATCTGCAGGACGACAAGCTAAAAGACTTTTATGCTACATTCAGAGCTCAATTGATTTAAGCAGCCGTTTTAACTGCAAAGTCAATGTTTGATGCGCATTAAAAGGTCCTGCAGTGCGTCACGACCAGCACATCTCGAAGCATCTGAGCAGCGGCTCATGAGCTTCTGAGGCACATGCTGGAGTTGGAAAATTTTACTTTTGCTGCTCGGTGCGCCACATCAACCAATCAGAGAAGCTGATCTGGGAGCTGGCAGGGAGACGGACCCAGCGCTGCTAATGCAGATAACTATGATCACTCCCACGAAACAATTTCAAAATGCCTAAATTAACTTAAAATGTCGAAGCCTGTCAGCAAAATATGTTCGATTTTATTATTCTGGTGCCTGCAGTTTGTACCGCACTGCAGGTATGTGGGGGTCCAGCTCCAACAGCAAAATAATATATTAAGGCAGGATCATGTTTAAGGCATAATGTTTTGAGGGGGAATTTCTCCCTTAAAAATATATTAAATCCCATTTTTTACCCACTTATCACAGCAAATATAGTAAAGCTGCTCTCTGCCATTAAACATGGGAGCAGCAGAAGCATCAGGACACACTTTACTGGACGCACTTCAGGAGCGTCAAAGATGCTCTAGAGGCGCGTCTGACCTTAATGTGTACAAGCAGCAAAAATGAAGCAGCAGGCGCTTTTTTTTTGCAGCTCAAAGCGTATCCGGTGTGAACGTATCATTAGATCTGTCCTTGAGCTGCATTCCTAACAATTCAGAGCGTGTACCGATAAATGTCAGCAAGCAGCCTCACCGAACTCATCTTCCATGGCCATAATGATCTCCACCTGGTCCAAGCTGTCCAAACCCAAATCTTTCATGAAATGGGAGGTTGTTTGAAGCTGGAGGACAAAAATGACGTAATTAGAAAACTTCACAGATCTGAATCACTGCATCATGGCAGGTCTGGTCAAAGGTATGCATAGAAATCTAGAAAATACTCAAATTAGGGATGACACAATCTGATATCAATAAGTAAAAGCTGATACAGTGATGCTGAGGAAAGACTCCACTCCTGTTTAAAATGTAGATGTTCTCATACCCATTTTTGTTCTGTTCATTAAATAATCTGATTGGGCTTTATGATACCCCACAAAACATTTGTAATAAAAGTAGGTATAATATATGCTGGTACTATATCGGGTCAGTATTTGTATAATATCAGAAATGGAATAAAGTTGTCGGGACATCGCTTTATGATTTTATAACAGGTACAGCAGAGACCCTTTGCATGCTAGCAATAACACTCACCTTCTCTGGGTTGATCTTGTCGTAGAGTTTAAGTACATACATGACACGGTCTTTAATGGTTTCTATGGTGAGAGGAGGCAGGTCGCCATACTGTCGGCAAAACACTCCCACTGATGAGATCTAAAGAGAGCCAGGAGGAAAAAATATGTTTAAATCTCAGGATGGAAAGTCAGACAACAATTCAATATAAAATAAAACTCTGAGAAATTAGTTAATATGTAACTCTAGCAAATGATTTTGAACACAATCATTCCTAACCAAAACAAAGTTGAAAAGTTCAAAAATCCTATCATTTTCCAATCATTAAAAACACACATTTGGTATCGATTGTCAGATGACAATATTAATCCCTTTGGCAGTCACTATTCTGCCTTTATTTCATTGCACCCATGCCATTTATTTATTTAGCAATACATTCACAGCAGAAGATATATATACACACACACACACCTGTTCTAATGCAGTTATAGCATTTCACATAATTGTTTATAAAAAGATTGGCTTGTGAAAAACTAACAAAAATGAGTTTAGAGAGTCTCAAGAGTGAAATAACTAAGAATTTGAAACAAAGACAACTAAAGGCACATTAGATCTACATATAATTAAATCCTGGCAATTATATATTTACTTCAAGTCAGATTTTTTTCTGCAGGAGAGAAGCTTGGCTTTGGATAATAAGCAGAAGAGTTTATACAACATCATTTTATTTCTCAGGTGCGCAAAATGTTTGTGTTTAATGTGGAAATCGGATGTAAAGAAAATTTTATGTTTTATTTTATACCAGCTTTTCTGCTTTAAACAGCACCTCTTCATGACACACCTTTATGAATGACCCTCAGAGCTAGTTTTCATAACACATCCACATGGTGCATGTTGAAGACAAAACTTTTCTAGATATTTAGCCTCTTTGCCATGTTTTCCTTTAGCCGTTACAAACATTAATTAGTTTAAAATGTGGAGTTCATCAATACATGCATAACAACACATGTCTGTAAACTTAGCTAACAGCTAGCTTTAACTGCTAACAAGTGACAAAACACTGCATTCGTGCCATTAAAACGTCCCTTTAAAGTGTGCCAACGTTTGGAGAGTGCATCAAGTTAAAAAGTTTGTCTTATACAAAGGTCATCCGGCAGAGCGACCCCTGCATCACAGCCTGTTAGCCCGTCAGCTTTGAAAGACATCGAGTAGGTCACACAGCTGCTAAAGCTAGGCCGCAGTCCCGTGCCGCGTTAGCGGTGAAGCTCACCCTGCTCTGTTCCAGCCACCGCGTCCTCCGGCTGTCTGCCGCGAACGAGAGAAGTCGGTGAACGGTGACTGTCGGTGCGACAGTCGGTCTGAGAGCGAGGTTAACCGGGCAGAGTCTCAGCGAGGGTCGGGCGAGCGAGCGGACACACTGCTGCAGGACACGGGCCGCCATGTTGTTTGGAGAACCTGCTGCTGGATCAGAGGCAAGTAAGAAGACTTCAGGTCAAGGGCTTGAAACTGCGCATGCGCAGTACATAAACTAGCTTTTGATAAATATATAAATTATTGTTTATCTATCGATATTTTTATATAAACTACCGAGAAAAAACACTTTAAAATTATCATTTGGAAAATAATATTTTTGAAGCCAGGAAAATTATGAGCGCACCCAGTTAAGACAATACCAATCGATCTTAGAAGTGCGCATGCGCAAACAAAGTGTGGAAGTGTTTTTTTCTTTATTTAATGAATTACCTTAGGAAAACGAAATTGATATAAAGTATATTAGATTCATTAGCTTAATTAATATAATTTTTATTTATTTATTTTATTTAATTTTTTTTGTATGTGTGGGATTTAGCATCCCGAGCCACATTCCAGTAGATGGCGGTAATGCACATCAATAAGTTGGTTGCCAACATAAAAGAGGAGGAAGAAGAAGACTTGACTTTTAACAACACTTTATTTAAACAATTCAAACATATAAACAATTGACGTAAAAAGAGTGTCATTTAAAAATCACTATTAAGATAAAAACAAGTGTGAGTTAAAATCGTTTAACAAGCTCATCGTAAACGATGAGCTTGTTAAAATGCAGTTCTCCATCATCTGACACAGTACATAAAATGTTTTTAAAACCCCACAACTGAATAAAATCCTCCATGTTCTGTGTGGCTCTGTGTAAGTGAAACTCCAGCCTTATTCTGACAAAAGAAGAAGAAGAAACCAATATGCCAGAGTTTGAAATATATATATTTTTAAAAGAATGTCCGATCAACCATCTGTTTTCACAGCAGAAATGGTCTATTTAGATTATATAGGGGCGGCATTAATATTTGGTCATGTTGGGTTCCAGCACATGAAGGTGTAAAAGGCAATGAAAAGGCAGATAAATTAGCAAAAAGGGCTTTAGAGGGAATAATAACCATTACAATTCCTATATGGAAAGGGGAAGGGAAATCACCTATTAAGAGTAAAGGCAGGGAAAAATGGCAGAAGAGGTGAAATGAAGATAAGAAAGGAAGAGGATTATATAAGGTACGAAAATCTGTATTAAATATAATCATTAATGAGAGAAACAGAAGGGAAGAAGTAATAACGATCATATTAAGAGTGGGTCATGCCTATTTAAATGCAATTTATATTTAATAGGTAGGAAAATGTAGAATATGTTATGAACTGTAAAATTTATGAACATGAAAGGGATAAATTGAGAAGAATTGTTGGAAGGACAGGCAAAGAATGGAGTCTTAAAGTAATATTGGGAAGTTACGGAAATATAAAGGATATCCACTGATTAAGGAAAGCATTATTTATTTATCCACAGAATACAAATAAAAAAAATAGCATTTGATATGTTGTAATGTTGCTACACACTCATGTACAGTAGGTGGCGGTATGCAGCTTCGACTTGCTTGCGATCCGCCATAATGGCAAAGAAGAAGAAGTGCGCATGCGCAAAAAGCCAGGAAGTGGAAAAGAGCCGAGCTTAAAGCTAGGAATGATAAGCATTAGACCGTTTTCAAATAATAATAATAATTGCTGCTACTAATAATTCCTGATTTTATTAATAACTATGGAGTTGTCTGAAATACTTTACAACAAAGCGGAGTACATAGAGACGGTAATAATTGTAGCTTTTCTAATATTTTGCAGCTAAAATAGCGGCTGTTTTGATTAGCTGGAAGCTAATACTGGAAAAGGGCGTTGGATGCATGAATGTTTTTTAATCATCATGTCATTTATTACAGGCTTCAGGGAACAAAGTGAGCAGGCAGTCTGTACTTTGCGGGAGTCAAAACATCGTGCTGAACGGCAAAGTGAGAGGATGACCTAAATAAACGCTTGCTATCAAAGAAAGAAACGTGTTTTCAGGGCTCTGCTTGTGTTCTTTCAGACTATTGTGATGAACGACTGCATCATCAGGGGCGATCTGGCCAATGTAAGAGTGGGCAGACACTGTGTTGTCAAAAGCAGGAGTGTTATTCGACCACCTTTTAAAAAGTTCAGCAAAGGGTAAAATATATTTTTTCTTATTTTCCTCATGACTACAATTTTTGAGAATAGATTATAAGTAATCTTTCTGTAGGAGGGATCCTGCATTTTATTTCTAATGCTGCGCTAATGTTTATAATGCAGTCATGTCATGTTGGTTTATATTAAGATCTCTGGGTTTAATGCTTCTGTTGTTTTCCTTTAGTGTGGCGTTTTTTCCACTCCAGATCGGAGACCATGTCTTCATCGAGGAGGACTGTGTGGTCAACGCAGCACAGATCGGCTCATATGTCCACATAGGCAAGAACTGCGTAATAGTGAGTGAAATAAAACCAGCTATCATGCATAGGAACAGTTAGAAGAAAGCTGGCAGATAACTGTGAAGCTGCCCTCCAGCTGCAGTCCCTCACAGTCACATGGTGATCATATCTTATAAAGATGCAGAACAGCAGAGACAAACTGCTGGCAGGCAGAACTGAATGGATTACACTGTTTAGGGTGGACTTTTTTTATGCCTTTTTAAAATATCCTTTATGTATCTCCTCGAAACTGAAAAAAGGTGGAAATGCAGATAGTATTTTTCATAAGTTCACACAAAGGCTTGAAAAGTAGGGAATAAAAGTAGAATCTGGCATCAAAAAATATTTGTACTTCCAGACTTTATTTACTCCACCATTCATCTGTCCATACATTTTTACATTAATCCATTGGTTGTCAACGATAACCTTCTGCTATCCAAGTTTTCTTGTAATCTTTTCAGATCTTATACTTCAATCCTTAAAAAAAAAACTGCAGAAGTGAGATTCAAACATTTTTATAAATAGTACAAAAAAAAAAAAAATATATATATATATATATAACTCATAGTAATTACAATTATGGAAACTAGAGATGTTTTAAGATCTGATAAATATATTTAAAGTTATAAGATGTGAGAATTCCTATGGATACCATGATTTCAGTCTTTTTTTTTTATGCCAGTTACTAAAAAAAAGCAATATATATACATATATATGTATTAATTAGGCTAAATTTATACCAATACTTAGGCTTTATAAGCGATATAAACAGAGCATTGAGCCTTTTCCTATCCTCTGCTTTATTTCAGTGTGGCTGAAGTGAATTTTCAGTTTTACACAATTATGTAATCTTTCTTTATTTTTATTGTAATTTAGGAACTCTAATAAAATTTTCAATAGTGAAACTTTAAGAGTTGATTGATTAGTTTGTATTGGTAAAAAGAGAAATAAAATGTCTTGTCCTGATTTTTTTAAACCAGTTTGTTTAAAAAAAAAAAGTACAAAATAATTTATAGAACAAACTAGACTTTCAGATTAGGTTAAAGGTGTGAAATTATCCGTGTTCGTTATTTTAATTTGGCTTTCTGTGGTGCAGGGCCGTCGATGTGTACTTAAAGACTGCTGTAAGATCTTGGACAATACAGTGCTTCCTCCTGAGACAGTCGTTCCACCATTCACAGTCTTCTCTGGATGTCCAGGTCTGCAGGAACATCCACCACACATTTATTGCCCTGTTGTCCTACCTGGCCTGCTTTTAACGGTTCTTTCTCTCCGGCTGTTTTCTCAGGTCTGTTTTCTGGAGAGCTCCCAGAGTGCACACAGGATCTGATGATTGATGTAACCAAGAGCTACTACCAGAAATTCCTTCCCCTCAGCCAGATCTGAGTAACACTACTACAAAACAGCTCTGCGATCCAGTTGGCGAAAGCTCTGCTCAAATTGCAATGGACTTTAAAGAGCTCAGAACATCATATTAGGACCTCTTTTAACTGGTCTTTAGAATATTTCTGTTGGTAATTTATCAACATCAACAAACTGCATCCAAATGTATTTCATATATTTTGCTGTTTTCCACATTAGTGTTTGTAAATGAAGGAGGGCATAATGCCTCAAGATTCCCCCCCATGAACCAAATCTGTAGCAACAGATAATCAGCAATGTTAGCTGTAATAACTTGACTCCTATGTAGCTCTGCTTTAAAAGTAAAACAGTAAATTTTGTCTTTTCCCACACAAACCCAATGTGTTTTGGGTGTTTTCTTTTTAATCCTTTTGAATCAAGTTGGATATTTGTGCTTGTAGAGTTATTCTAATTAAAGCTTAATTATTTAAGCCTGGAAATACATGGAAATCTAACAATACATTTTAATCAGTAAGCTTTTATATAAGATTGTTGTCCAACATTAAAACAGAGAAACACAGAAAAGTATGTAAGGTAATTAAATGTAATTAGAGGCACAGTGCTGATTCACTTTCTAAAACTGTATTCTGGTGCCCCCTAGTGGTTTAAAGACAGACCAGTTTTTCTATATAAAATTATTGGTATGATAGGGATGTTATAGCCTCCATGAGACCATCAGTAAATGCTCCCCTTCACGGTTTTATGATACAGAGTGAAACATCCTTTGTTCAACATCTTTGTTCCAAAAGAAATGTGCCATTTATATTAAACCATCACTACTTGTTCCTGAAAATTTTAAATCTATTTGGCAGATGTTGGCAACTGTCCGGTGTGGGATTTCAGTACTAACATTTTACTAAACAAGATTAAATGTCTGAAAGTTTTCACTGTGAAGATTTCAAATTCTCATTTTACGAGTACAAAATGTGTCCCTTGTTTCTCATTGTAATTATCAAAAAACACTTCAGATTTATTAAAACAAACCTGTTCTATTCCCTTTCTAAACCCAAAAAGAAAAACCGAGTTCAGAAGCATTGTAATTGTAAGCATACAATTTAATACAATTTTCAATATTCAACTGAATTGTTTTATTATTTTACACTGTGAACCACACATATACCAACAATTATTTGTTAAGAATATAGATTAGCCATTTATCTTATTTTAGACAAATAAGTATCCAGAAACAGCTGATCCTAGTTTTGGCTCTGAAGACGTCCTGTGGCATGAAGTCAGTCTGATGAAGGACATGAAGGCCATGACCGACTGAGGAAAGGAACAAAAATATGGCAGCTCTAAATAAACCATAAACTAGCAAATGAGCCAACCTGAACAGGAGCTTGGAAAATATCTCAATTGAAGGTAAATGTAGGAGAAAATTATATTTTCTTATTCTCACATGAAATCTCCTTCGCCAACTTGTCAGAACGTGAACAGAAGGCGGTCATTGCTGTCAGTTTACAGCCAAACACTGACAGATATCCTACCAACACTGAAAGGAAAGTGTTAAGATACTAATCAGTGAGCTCAGATTGAAGATTTATAAAGCTAATCCAAGTTAAACTGAACTCCAGCTGACTTTAAACGTTGCATTTTGGCAGTAGAATGGAGCAGATCATGAGGCACCGTCTGACTCCTGCCAACAACGTCACCCTAATAAGAATTACTTGATTTTTGAAATGCAAGTAAAAATCAAGCTAATTATTTTATATATTAGTCCATGCCATTCCCACCTGCAGTTTTAAGCACCTGCTTCAGCCGAACAAACAAAAACAGAAAAATACATAATTAACTATCAAATTGAAGAGGCACATCAGGGTGTGCCGGCATGCTTTAAACAAAACAGAATTTTTTTTTTTTCCTAAGCATAACAATAAATAAAATGTGTGAAAAAGACATGAAGAGGAGAGCAGGAGATGGCAGACAGCTAAAAAAAAAAAAGAAAAAATATGTCCAACATTCAGATCCCAGGAAGGTTGAAAGTAATTTAGAAAATTCAGGTTCAGTTTTATCTTTACATATGCACCAATCAATCACAGAATCAGCATATTATCACCAGATTTGCTCTGACCCACCATAGATCTTTCCTACTCAGTGAATTTTTAACGTTTTACATTTTCAGTCTAAAAGCACCAACCAGTCAGAACCTGGAGATCCTTTGTAGTTGAACATAAATCTGATCACATTTGTGGATGTTTCGGTCCTTCCAAACTAGCTAAGAATTTGCAGCACATTTTACCTTCTCTTACAATTTCGTAAAAGGGAATGAACTGTTGGGTGTCTATCGGAATATCAATAGTAAAGTTTCACGTTTGGCATAACTTGTCTTTTCTGTCACTCATAACACTAAACATCCTTCTAAGCCCTCTTTACATTTGCTTTACCAAAAATAGTCAAACTGGCTATTTTAAGTGACCTCAGTGTCTAATGTAATCCACCTTAAAGGATGTAAAACCAACAATCAACTCAGAACTGAAATGAGCCCCAGAATTATTTTGTATGAAAAAAAAAAAAAAAAGCAACCAGGATCCTTTTACGCAGAAAACGCTGGCATATCAGCCCACAGCTAAAGAGACCAATACAAGCTTTAGAATAAATTAACTACGGTTTTCCACACAGGGATGGACACACAAAGGCTCCAGTGGCTGGAATCAAGTGTTTTAATTTTTGAGCACCTAAAGAGAAGCTGATCTATTTGAGATTAAAGAACAACTTTAAGTGGTTGAGTGGGGTGATGGAAGAGCCAATTTGTTTGCATGCGTTGGGGGTAAATGCTAAGAGCATGACTTTTTTCAAAAGAAAAAAAAAAGATACTTACTGCAACTGAGAATTGTCACAGCAGCACATTAAGCAGCAGCTGCTCTCATGAAACGGCAGGGAGAGAAAAATCAGGGCTTCGGAGAAAACTAAGACTCAATTTTCATCAAAAATAACACAGAAGAACAAGCTAAGTGAATAGTTTGTGTTGGGTTAGCTTGGCTATTCCAGCTGAAATGAGCCCATTAATTTAACACTGGTGGTTAAAAACAAAAACAAAAAAAATCTGAAGCAGAGCAGAAAAATGAAAACAATGTCCGAACATTTAAACTTGAATATCCAGCGACTAGATGTCATTAACCCAACAGACAGAGATATGGCTATGTATGCCGCTGTTGTGATGCTAGCTGAACAAGCGGCTTCGCTTTCAGGCAACATGAAGTAACAGAAAACGCAGATGGGGCCGTCGGAGCCTTAAACCAGCACAGCTCCAGCATTTTTTGGTGAGCAACTCAATTCACAGACTCCCACATGTGATAATGGCCCCCTCTTCCTTATTAAAGTGATGGGTGAGGACAGAATGAGGAGGGGAAGCACACGTGTCAGAGATGAAGTGGCTTTTTGCTCGTTGAACAGGACAGCGTATTTCCACTCATTGAGAACTGTCTACAACCCAGAATTAGTAAGTGACCTCCTTTGTCTCCTTTCCAGGGCAGCTTGGTCTGAGGAATGTGCGAGGCTGTCCTAACGTCCCACTTTGTTTCTCTCTCTGTCACAGACTGCTCCGATTGTGGATCTCTACTTAGTGTTAGGAAAGGAGACAAGGGACACAATTCATGAACAAAAGCAACCGTGAGCCTTCAGGCCTCACTTTAATTTTAAGCACAGACGCTTGGAAGTTGCTATCCGTCCGTCTCTTTGCACTCAGGCAGATGTTCAGTCAGATCAACCTGTTGCGTTTGTGCGTTGGGGAGTCCGTGATGACGTCGCTACACTGGGTGGAGTTACGTTTCCTGGTTCCTCCTCCCCCGACGGCGGCGGAGCCGGTAGAGTCCAGATGTCGGGCCATCTCTTCTGTAATGAAAGTGTTCAGATCGACGTCTTGGAGCCCATTTCGTCTGCTGCGGCACACGGGCCCAGAGCCAGAAGAACTGCCTCCACTCGCGCTCCCAGTGTTACCGCTGCTCCCGCTCACATGTGTGGGAGAACCTGGAGCGCCGGAGCGCACGCTGATGCTCGCCATGGCCCCACTCAGACCTGAGAAAGGATGGGAAGACCAGATGAAGAGAAGGAAGAAACCAAACTAATTAATAAAAGATGACAGCAAAAAAAACTAATTTACAATTTTAAAAATTCTTCCCTTATTAGCTCACAAAACAACATTTTTAATCTAATGGCAAATTATCCTATTTTTGTTTTGCAGCATAAATATTTCAAAGCCTGCTGCTCATCTGTTTAATTAGGGCCCCATGTAACCAGAGCATGTTTGTAATAAACTGCTAACATGTTAGATCTTTAAACTTTGATCAAGTAGACCTCTAACAGAATTCTGTACAAACTGCTAAGTGTTAATATGCCAAGTCCATTAAAACTCCCCAAAAAAACATTTATTAGGAAAAAAAAAATAAAAAATAAAAAAATTGTTTGGGAGCTAAAATCTTAACATTTAAGCAGGTGATCATCTCTCCCTCCTCATTTTCCTCAGTCGAAAGCTTTTGCATCTTTCATTTTCCAATTTCCTCCTTTAATGTTTGTGACTGACCGATGTTCAATAAGACCGAGACACCCGAGTCTGAAGACTACAGTCATAAATTACTATAATAAATTAGGAAAAACAACTAATGGCTCATAAGTAGCTCTGGTTAAACCTTTAACTTACACTTTACAAGGAGTAGTTTTTGTTCTTAATCATTCCTTGCCAGGGTTAGGGTTACAACGCGTGGCAGGATGCATAATCAGTCTTACAAGAAATTAAAAAAGGAAATATCCAGAAGCCTTTAGTATTTTTAGGCAACTAAAAAAGCAAAAACACAACCGGTTATATAATAGACAAAAATATGAGAGGAACAATGCCTTCTGAAAGAGACTTTACCACAATACCGAAACCACAATCCAACTTTACTTCATGTCAAGCTTCACTTGTTTACTTTAAATTATAAACCCTTTAAAGACAGACACGGGGAATTCACATCTAAACCTATGCATCTGAACACAGAAAACAACTTCAAATCAAATAAAAACTGCTTAATTTTTTATATAATCTAATATGCTCAGTGAAATTCCCACAGCTGGAGTTAAAATGGGATCAGCTATCACTATTGGCCAATACGGACACACCCCAGCAAAACAAGCTTATCTAAGAGTGACATGTGGCAAGGAAGCAATACTGACTGCTATCACACACAGAAACAGAGTCATGTGGTTCTCAACTATATATAGCAGATTATTTTAACCTGGAGGAAAGACCTTTACTTTATAAAATCCCTTTACTGCAGATTTAAAGCATTTGTTGCGTTAGTGGATCAGCCATATGTACAATAAACAGTTTCAATCTATGTATCCAGACCAAACCCTTCTTACCGTGCAGAGCTATGGCCTCCCTGAAGGGCTGCAGGTCTGTTTCCACAGAGGAGCCGGTCTCAGCTGGAGAATTAGCCCGGCTAGGGGCCACCATTGCCAGGCGAGAATTGGTCCTGCTACTTCTGTGTGGTGGAGCTTTGCCACACAGAAAGCTTATAAGATCCTCCCTACGGATGGTTCTCCGGCGCTTTTTCACCCAAGCCAGCATATCCTGTGAAGAAAGAAGCAAAAACAACTCTTATCATTCGATTTAAGTGTGATACGTTTTTTTTGGCCATTTTTTATCGTTATTTCCTGTGAAAGGAATTCACAGACAGCAGGACATTTTGAGAAAAACAAAACAGAGCAGCAACAAAGACAGACCTACCTTATTACGTCGTTGGTGACCTATCTGGATGCCCCGGTCACAACTTCTCTGATGGGCTTCTACGCTCTCTGTGATGGAGAACATTACTGATCATTACTGAAAACCATGCAAGCATGGACCTAATAAAATAATGTCAATCTAAAAAGTATAATACTTGGCAGTAAACAGGATGACAGAGTTTAAAAAAAAAAAAGATTTTCCTTCCTAAGCTGGTTCTCAGATGAATTTCTAAAAAATGATTCATAAGATCAAAGATTGCATTTTGAACATTCATTACAGCTAGTATTAACTGCATCACTTTATTCATCTGTTGTCTAATGTTAGCATATTACTAGCATCATTGTATTGCATAGCTACACATCCATGCAATCCAAATAACAGCTAAAAAAATTATTTTAATACCAGCAAGCTAATTTGACCTCAGACCCAATCAGAGCGTAAAGAATTAATTTTAAATTTTGAAATTTGACACTTACCCAAATGATAAAGGTAATCAAAAAATAAAATAAAAAAATCACTGAAGTATTTGAGACCTTTTAACATTTTTGTCATGTCACAACCACATACTAAAATTACTTTTATTGGGTTGTTTGTGCTGAATCAATACAAAGTAGCATTACATTTTTAAGCCTACAGTTTTGTACTACAAAAAAAAAAAAAAAAAAAAAAAAGATTAAATGTTATGAGTGTATTTGGAGAAGCCCCAAAGAGGACCGTTCAGGTTGGAGAAACTATCCAACATCTGGTGTGAACTTTATGAGGCAGGGATGCTTTGCTGCATCATGAAGAGGCAAAAGAGTTAAAAGGAAATGGATGGAACAAAGTTCAATCCAATCATGGAAGAAAACATATCATATGCTGTAAAAGACTTGAGACTGAGATAAAAAACTGAAGTGCAATGCAGTTATGAACATATTACAAAGAACATTAGTCCTTCAAAGCTTTTACATCAAGAGACTGAAAACAGATCTACAAGACAGTTGCACACTACTTTGTAGGACTGAACAGTATAGTGAGAATTTCAGTGTGTTCATCATACATCATCATTTCTTATAAAGAAAAAGTCCAAATGGGGGTGAATTCTATAAAACTGAACAGGTTATGCTTTACAATTAGACATGCATTTAATATTAGAGAGCAGGTGTTTTCTTTCCTTATCTCTGTAAATGATTTTCAGTTTCATCTGTAAAGATTTTAACTTAGGAGGTCCATCCGTATAAACCAGTGATCAATACTTTGTTTTTGTATTGATTGGTCCATCCGAAGATGGACTGAACTGGTGTCACTGTTGTTTTGGTGGACTTCATGTGAAAGGAGAACGTTTGTCAACAAACACCTCCGGACACAAAGGTCATCATTAAAATGAGAGTATGAAGTCTACACACGTTACCCTCGGTTTGTGGCAACTTAAAAAGCCTGCTGGAAGCATATGGATGTTTACCTTTGTAGAGGTTGGTTACTGCTGTAGCAGCATTCTGAAATGGCACCCACAATGACAGGCCCTGCTGGTGGCATACCCTATCTGTGGAATAGAAGAAAAATTATGGCTCATTATTCAAACTGTTGGCATTTTAAAACACATTCCCTGAAGCATAAGTGACCGAAGCAGAGCATGGTTCACTTTTAAACGCCATTTTGTCTGGCCTCTTTAACTGCAGAGATGGGGTTTGGCATAAAAATAGATGTCAGCAAGCAGCTAGACGGCCAACAGGGCAGCGGGGAGAAAGAACTTAACTGCACTCTCAGCACTAAAGTTTAAAAGGGACAAGAAATATGCATAAAAGACATAAAATTGGATCAACTTTTTATGATTGGGATTGTATTTGTGGAAAATATAACGGAGAAAGCAGAGAACAAATATTTATCCTCGCCATCTTGCAATTTTACAAGTGGTGAAAAGCCGCATCTAAAACCTACAAGGAAGCACGAGTTTTGTAAACAAACATACGGATATGTTTCGACAGTATAATTATAAAGGACAGATTAGGAAAAAAATCGGTTCTACGCCTAATGGCATTTGTTAACAGTGACAGTCAGCTGGGAATGTCACGTAGCTACGACTGTTGTTACCATCGCCATTTTGTAACTACTTAGCTAATGTTAAGTTAGCTATGATCTATTTAATGTCAACAAACATTAAATTTTTTTTTCCAAAGTAGTTACTAATATTTACCAAGCTAAACTCATTTTAGAAAAATGAATTAGCCGTATAGAAGCGTTAAGGAGAAAATGCTAACCACTGGTAAAAACATCCAGCTAACTTTAGCTTTAAAAAGTCCCCTGTAAACGCCAATACCGGCTAGCAAGCGGACTAAAAAGGCTAGGTAGCATTTAGCCGGCAGTTAGTGCGCGTCTAGAAGCAGGCTGCTAACCAACTAGCAACTGAAAATAAAGCGTTGCTTTTTAACCTTTGTACAGTTGAGCTACGGCAGTGGCAGAGTTTTGAAATAGATGCCAGAGTTTATCCTGGTCGTTGTCGGCCTCCTCTTCTCCCGGGTCCATCTGTTCGGCTTCGGCTAAACATTGCCGCTCCCATTTTGAGAACCAGTGCTCCGGTCCGTGTTCCTGTATCTCAGAGTCCCCTTCTTCCTTCTTCTCCTCCATTTAATACAACAGAGCTCGGAGGAAATTCGGTTTCTAGCTTTGGATTTGATAATATCTGGGGAACATACATAAACTTATATAAATAAAGTCATAAATACTGTTTTGTATTTTGTTCTTTTTGTCGTCGAATAGCAACGCTGCCCCTCCTGACTATCTCAGGAGGCGAGCTGAGCTAACTATTTCTCCGTACTTGCCGTCGTCGGCATATATACAGGACACACAATAATGTTATGTACTCCACCCGACGTCGACGACAATTGACCAGTTATTCATGTTTGGGAGGGCTTTAGGTCATTCCTCTCTGTGATTGGCTGTCACACACGTCCATCATCCAGAAACTGACACAATATTGCTGTATTTTATTATATTATATATTTTTAATTATATAATTTATGTTATCTATATATTTATTTTAAACGAAACTTCTTTTTGTATACACTTGTGTAAGTCTATTATAATATATTGCATTGTATTGTATTGTATTGTGTTGCATGATATGTATTGTATTATATTATATTATATTATATTATATTACATTATATATTTAATTATATAATTTATGTTATTTATATATTTATTTTAAACAAAATTTCTTTTTGTATAAACTTGTGTATTCAAAATGACAAAATAAATCTGTCTAAGTCTATTATATTATATTATATTGTATTGTATTGTATTGCATGGTATGTATTATATTATATTATATCATGTTATATTATACTTTATTATATATTTAATTATATAATTTATGTTATTTATATATTTATTTTAAACGAACACTCGTGTTTACAAAATGACAAAATAAATCTGTCTAAGTCTATTATATTATATTATATTACCGTATATTGTATTGTATTGTATTATATTTTATATTATTATATTATATTATATTATTATAGCTACAGCTTTTTCATATTTTTTTTTCTTTTTAATAGTAAATTCAGTTTAATGGGAAAAAATAACTTTTTTTATTTTCCAAAGAAAATGTATTCTAATTTTCTTAATTTTCTATCTGACAAATATTGTTTTAACTCAGAGACCCTATGTTCACTGTGGGTCATACAATCCTACTCTTTTTTTCTTATCTTAATGACCTCTAATTCTACACGCACTTCAAAGTCTTGAAATTCCATTGCTGTCATTTCTTACATTTCAAAAAGTTATAAATTATTTTTCTTGGATCTAAGTTAAAAGGGGTAAGATTTATAAAGGATATTTGTTGATTTTAATAATGCTGAGTGATTTTGTAACATTTTATTACATTTAATGTCCTAATGTTCCTTTTATCACCACCCTGTTCGATCTTTCTACCATCTTCCCATCCCATCCATTTATAAAGAAATAATTTGTTGTTCTCCACTGAGAATGTGAGACATTGGTCCAGTCTTTCTATACTTAACATGGTATAGAAAAGAGGTGTTTATTTGGTCCCGACATTGCTTTTTAATCAGTGCTTTTATTACCGCACTTGAAAATTCTAGAGCTTGCAATTCCACCTCAAAGTACTATTCAGTTTATTTATACATGTAATACAATCATATTCTTCAAAATGTTTCTAGAATAACTGGCTGATTGCGGGGATTTGTTGACTCTCTGCAATCCTTCACACAGAGCATGGATGTAGCGACAGTGGAGAAAAAAAAGTCCCTTTTAAATGAAGGAAACTCCCAACAGATCCAGGCTGAGCGCCCATATGCTGAGGCCAACTAGGGTTCGATGAGATACAAGCAGATAATGAAATAAATGAAAAAGGTTATTTGGTGTTCAGGCCCCAGCAGAAGACTTTGGTGCTGTGAATCAACATTTGCTTGAATGAGTGCCTAGAAAAGTATTAGAGTAGTCTTTTCCCAAGGCCTGGACACTGGTGGTGGAATAGGCCAGAGGCCACGACTGAGAATAGTCTAAGAGGGAGGGAGGGAGGAGATGGGGAGGAGGTGGGTGAATGTTGATGGATGGATGGATGGATCCTATACTGAACAGCCATGTCATCATTGTCTTTTTCATTCAGTATCAGGTTTAGTGAAGGAGGCATTGACTCTATGCAACACAGCAGAATGATATGTCATTGTTTATTGATTGGAAAATTAACTTATGCTAAATACAAAAAGACGAGTGACGACAATTCAGCCACATGGAGTTGTGTAAGAAAAAAGGATGGTTCACGGATGCTGAGGCTTAGACTATTTCTGATCCACTTCTCCCCCTGGCTTCCATTGTTGGCATTTTATGTTGGCATATCGAATTGATATATCATAGCAACTACTTCCTATCCCTAGCTCCTATCCCTTTACATTTTGCAGGTTGGACAGTACACTATTCAGGGTAGGAAATTAACTCCAGAGTGCTTAACTGAATCTGGACAGCCTTCAGCCTTATGGACGGGATTACACAAAGGACACACCTGGATGATGCTGGTCAAACTATAAAGGAACTACAAATAACAGAAGTCACAAGAATACAGCAAACGGCTGAAGCACTCCATGCTAAAACACTCCAAAATATGAAGGTGTGTACATTTGGATGTGTGACACAGAGCACACATTAAGACATCATGTATTTTTCTTAAACTCAGTAAGGTGGCCTGTGTCTATGTGTCATGTCATGCAAACGTATAGATTAAATATAGTGCATAGGAACTTGCTGTTCACAAGTACTGCCAACCCACCTCGCTTGCATTTCCCAGCCTTGTAGAGAGACACTGGAGTTGGGATATAATCCTGCAGCCATGTTTCAGTAAACACTTAATATTTCACTTCCAATATATTCTGATTGGGTCCTTCCTAGAGCTCTGGCGTTATTTTACCTTGGTTCCTGAACAGCTGACATTGGCCATAATGATTGATGGAAGAGATTACTTGATTTTTCTTTTCTCTCTTCTCCTTGCTGCTGTTCTGCATCTTTGGCTACTCCCAGCAGAAGCAGTTGAGGTATTATTTTAGCTTTCGAGATAATGATTAGCTGCTCCTAGGTGTACAAAAAAAAAAAACTTCCTATGGTTACACATCATAACTAGCTAGCAACTTAGCGGCATTGCATCCAACACCAGACATTAAAAAAAATGTAAAAAGCAAACAAAAACTGTGATCTTCAAATGGAGGGACTGAAGTCCTTTTAAAAGGTTATGGAAGAACTACTGAACGTCTAAAGTGGTGCAGAATAAAAGTATACATTCTACTGAAAATACATGAATTTATTTATATAGTATCTACACAGTTTTTGGCAAAATTTTAATGGGTCTAAAATATATATACTACCGTTTGTTATGCCAACATTGACATGAAGGGATTCTGTGCTAATAAGAATAGTAGGTTGAAGACACAAGAGGACAAGGCTTACATTTTTAAAAGCAGAATTTTTTTTTTTTTTTTCATGGATGATTTTGACCCGATCCCCCAGTATTTTCCTAAAAGCTTAGATTTTCTTTTTCTTTTTGTCTCATTTTGAGCCTTTAAAAATATTTCCATAGTTTAAATATATTAATAGTTTTTGTATTTTCTTTCTATGGAAAACATATAGAAATAGATTATGAAGGTTACAGCAGCCCCAAGCAGAGAGATTCAAGGAACAACCATACACTCAAGTACCACTGTCCTGCATGTTTTTTGTGTATCTTTGCTGCAACATACCTTACTTATATGAATCAGCCATCTGCAGCAATTGATGGTTACTGAGGAGTCTATGTATAATTTGAATCAGGTGTGCTGATTTATTATTGTTTGGGTTAACTATGTTCGAGACACTAAATTTGTTTATGTTTCTTTGTGAAAAATTATAGTTTTGTTTTTTTTTTGCATGGCGCTGCCAAGAAAAGCATGGAGACTCTGGTTGTGAAGCTGTATGTGTCCGCTAGATGGAGACAGAGCGCCTGCTTTTTTTTTTTCCACATTGGAGTTCTAATTTGTTAAAAAAAAAAAAAGAACATAATTTTGGAACATAATTTTTCTTTAAAAAGTAATATTCTCCTTTGTCATGAAAAATATAAAGCGAGAATGACTCAAATAATAATTTAGGAATAAGCCTACTTAGTAAGAGGTTATGTGTACATATCTATTTCTAGTATTGTTTTATTTATTGTGTTACAATTTTGGCCAAAGTTCCCCCTTGTGGTACTGATATTTATTGTTTATGTATGACTAATACAACCTCTTTTATAATCATAAAAATTAGAAAAACACATGCTGTGGTATTTTGTTGAAACATCTCTTATAAACACTTAAATGTTGTATGTATATGAATTACTAAATGTTACAAAAACAATAAGGAAGTACTAAAAGTGGTCAAAGTATATTATTGATTTACTTTTAATGCCAATAGTAGCCATCTTTATTACAGAAAATGGTACGGTCCTGTTGCTCCAACCCTCTGAATCATTGTAATTACATTTTTCCTGCAGTTTCCAACTTCGAGATTAGTAATTGAGAAAGTCAGGTTCTTAGAATGCAGCATGAAGTCCAACATATATCTGTTTAGAAATGAATTATTTTATATTGCATTACTATAAACACCAAACAATTTTTTTTAAATATATTAGTCAGTTTTGTTTCTTTTTACATTAAATGCATTTCCATTGCCTGTCGAATTAATCAACACAGTTTATGAGATAACAGAAACTAATTAAAATATGTTTAATGCACTCTTTGTAGAGGATGGGTGACTACTGTGAAAACTGACTTAATGATAAATATAATTAAACAACTAAGACAATCTGGGGTCTCCTAGAATTGTGTTTAATGGTTAATAACCAACATGACTGCCATACAAAATATTGTAAATGTTGAAAGTTGTCTGTTGTGCAGGGGCGGAGCTAGATGGGGGGCCAGGGGTTGCCATGGCCACCCTTACCGAATCATTGGCCACCCACCCCTACCATTTTTTCCCTCTGATACAGATGGTGGCAGCAGTAATACTCTTAAGTGTGTCTCTGCAAGCCATAGATAAATAACAATTTTAATAAAAACGTATCAAATAATCAATTTATGTAGATATTAGTGCTTGTAAATATCAATTTTACGTAGAATGTTTATTGATACAAGTAGGTAAATAACTAGGATGGAAAAGATTTACACTCCAGATCTATGAACTGAAAGAAATTTATCCACTACACCTTTTATCTAGAAAGCACGGATGTTTAAATATATGCGTCTATTTGTTAACAAAGGCTGTAGGAAAGTATAGTTTGTCTTTATTTAGAAAATATGGATGTTTTGCTCGTTAAT